ATTCCTGCACTGGCCTTTCTGCCTATAGAAAATGATTACAAAAAGCTATCAACAGTTTTTATGGGGGGTGTCAAACTTGGCTGGCACCTGGGCTAGATCTGGACAACAGTGCTTCTCTCAAGCCGGATCTGGACCTATCAGCAGTAGGGGGCAAGTTGTGGCAGTGGTGGCACAGAGGTTAATGCAGATACCATTTGCCCCACCACCACCAACATACATCCTCAACCAGGCTCGGTACCTAGGAATTCAGTTGCAGACTCTAACACCCCTCACTCTGCCCCCAAATTCTCAGCTCCTCCACTGTGGGCTGGGTGAAATAGGTCCACAGGCTGGATCTCGCCCATGAGCTCTATCCATCATACCTCTGGTTTATATCATGGGCAAACTGTGTTCCACTTATGCTTCAGACCCACTTCGAAGCTGTGTAGATGCAAGGCTGTGGTAAATGACACCCTCTAAATTTAAAAACTACCCCAATAAGTCATTCAAGACACTGATTAAGTTCCTCTCCCCCAGTGAAATTAGTAAGATTTTTGTAGTTGACACAAAAGGAGACAGGACCAGGCCCTGAGAATCTGCTGGAAAGAAAAGAATCTGAAATATATGATATTGCTCCCCAAATAACTTGGTAAAAAGCATCAGTCCAGGTGCCACAATTAGCTACAGGGATGGGGAAGAAGGAAGGAGCGCACTGCCACAGAATACTATTGAGCCCAAGAGCTTAGCAGATTTCAACAAACAGTAGGATGTTAATATGGATATCAATAGCAAAGATTATTTTTAAAAGGAATTCAGAAGGGATACAAATATCCATGTTGCGGGCCACTCACTGATCTTTAGTCAATGGAGGCTACAACAACCTTTCCCTAGAGCCATGTTTTTATTCCATACATACAGACTGAGGTGTTTCTCACCCTTTCCTCTGAAGTACTTAGCACTGGACACATTCAGAAACAAGATAGTGGACCAAGGGTCTGATATAGCAAAATAATTTATTTAACCCCCTACTTTGGGGCAGAAGGGAGTTAGAATGAGACTGGAGATAAATCTTCATTACTAAGTGCTCAGTCTCCCAGTGACTTCTACAAATGTGATACTGCATTGGGCCACTTTTTTTTTTAATCACATACCCATCACCTCTTGGTCCATGTCGAATTAAAGGTTGACTGAGACAAGGGTATAATGGTTTGCAAGTCCTGGGTGCATCTACACATGTACCCCACTGCGCAGTCATTTTAGCAGTTGGTACTGTTCAGTCCCCGCAGCATGCAGGTCGTTACCGACCTTGCTGCAAGATGGCAATGAGCAGCCATTAAGGCTTCCAATTGATTTCCACAATAGTTCCTCTGCTTCATCTGCCCCCAGAGCAAGGTTGCAATTCACCAAAGGACAGCAGTACAAGAATTAAATTGCATTTGAGATTGTGTCACTAAGTGAGTTTAGGGTGGCAAAAATGAATTGTTCCAGAGGGAGGGCAGAAAGTATGTAAATTGCTCTCGAGCCATCTCCTTTCACTTAAAAACCTGGTTAAATACGGTATGGATTTACTAAGGGGGAAGGGAAGTAAGACATGAGGCATTTGGTTTTCAGCTCTTTATCAATGACCAAACACTGAGATTTAGTAAAATTATTCATGACAACTTTTTTCTAGCTGAAGGAACAGGAGTTACTATAAACCACATTCATTCATCACCTCCTAAAAGACCTCCTTATGAGTGAGGATATAGCAGTCATGATTGCATTAAACTACTGTATATCTTTCTTGATCTATAGACATTTAGGTTGCTGACTGAGATTGTAGATTTGGGGTCATTTTCTTTCCTCTTCTTTCATATTTTGTTAAGAAGAGAGCAGATAAAATGCATCTAAGGGGTCGCATCTACATGAGATGCTATGTGACGCTGCTGCTACTGTGCAGTAGCAACGACTGCTCTCTTGTGCAGTAGTGACAGCGTCACGGTTAGTGACCGCCAACACTACGTCACCATAGCTCGTTGCTACTGCAATATGTAGTATTTAATCAGGTTTCTAGGTAAAAGGAGATGGCTAGACAGTGATTTACATACCTTCTGCCCTCCCTCTGGAACAATTCTTTTTTGCTGCCCTAAACTCACTAGTGACGCAATTTCAAGTGCATTCCAATTCTTGCACCTCTGTCCTTTAGTGAATTGCACCCTTGCTCTGGGGGCAGATGACGCAAGGGAACTGTTGCTGAAGTTAATCAGAAGCCTCAATGGCCACTTCCCCACAAGCAGAAACATGTGTTTTCCCAGGGACAAAAAGCAGCGGCACATACTTATGCCACTGCCAGTTGTCCCCAGGCCCACCTCTGCAAGCGCGCTCTCATGCGCAACAAAATGGCCTGGGTGGGATAAGGAAGGCTAGGACCAGCACCTCTGCTGGCCCCAGCAGCCTTATCTGGGATCCTGGGAGCCTCCTGGGGCAGCAGCAGAGGCGATCTGGCTGCTGGGAACCTGGCCCGCAGCTAGAACAGGGCTCTGGCTTGCCAGGCTCCGGTTTCTGGCAGCGCACACCACAGCCATGCGTACCACGCTACTTTTTTTGGCACAGTTATTTTAGATGCTGGGATTTCCAAGTGTCCAATTTTGCCACCAGGTTGCAAATATGCAGCATGGTAAACAGATTAACGTGCACTGTGGCATTTTGTGGCACCTCAAAAGGCTTTGAGGAGCTGCA